TACTACAAAATAGAGTTAGGATATGAGGAAACAAAACGTTGACCCCATCAACCCCAATAGTATGACCTGGTTCCTAACAGCCTGAGATGTGTTCTTGAAGGACAGAGAGATGGTGCCACCTGTGATGTCATGAACACCTTACTTCGAGACCTGAGGTGGCATCAACACCACTGAAAGGGCCCCTGTTCTCACTCATCCCATGCACAGGATTCATAAGGGTCCAGGCTTGTGCAGACCTCACAGAATGTTGACATGATGCCTGTGCTATAGACAGAATCGCATTTTCTTTTGCATGTCAGTTCTAACAAGGGCACCATGGAGTACAGGATGTCTGCAAGTGGAATTTGCCTTGTTGGTTAAGTTCCTTGCTTTTCTTCATAGTTACAGTGAGAATAAAGAGAAACAGCATGTATATAAAAAAAGCAATAGGAAAAGAACAGTGAGGCCAAGGTATCCTGGCCATGTTAAGTTTCTTATTTGATTGTCTGTTTTGTCTCATCCCTTCATTTTGATTAAAATAAACCATTTGACCATGTTCCTTCCTTTGGGCCATTGAAAGACAATTAGCACCTGCATGGAAATGGCATCTGTGACTTAGTAGATGGCAACTACTCATGATTCCCAAGGTTTGCACTATATCTGACTATGGTACGGCTTTCATTAGCTTACATCTATTATCAGAGTGTCCCTGAGTCAGGGTGGGGACTCATGACTGGCAGGAAGATTCCACGAAGACACTTAAGGTATCTGGCAAGACCAAAGGTTCTAGAAAGTTGCTGAGGCAAGAGGCAGGCCCCACGTGGTAGCCAGAGGTAGCCAGATCAGCAAGGGATGCACGATTCTGAGTAACTCTAGACTGTCTCCACCAGCAAGAGAAGAAAACACAGTCATTCATTTCACCAAGGCTCAAAAACACAGTCTTCAATACAATCCTCAGTTCATGCCCAGTCCTCTTTCTTGTTTTCTCACGAGGGAAGCTCAAGCAGTGGTGGCTTAGGGAGAAAAATGTCAGGGAAATGTCCCAGAGGGCCTTTTTTTTTTCTGTGGTTTAAGGGCCAGAGTTAGAAAACACAACCTGTCCCTGACAGTCCATTCAGAGGTCAGTACTAACACAACCACCCTGTTTTCACTTTACTGTAAAGAACATTGTTTTTCTGATCTTGTTTTTAGACAGCAAACTGGCTACTTTCCTTCACATGCTTACAAGTCAAGGTCATGATAAAAGGTAGGTAGGAGCATTTGCCCTCCTGTCTAGAAACTGCTGGGAGTGGTGAAATAGACCAAGTTGCAAGTGGTGGAATACAATGTAGACCTCATCTGCATGTCTGCAAGCATTCATTTGCTACTCACATGGTCCCTTGTCCAAACGGGTACTGGATCCAAGTCTGTTCCTGCCCCGTTTATACCAGAAGTTGGTACAGAATCTCTACTGGCCAGGAAGCCATGTTAACTGAGTGGACCTATCTCAACAGCTAATGTTCACTCCCAGCATCCTAACTTAGACTCCAGGATGAGGTTTATGGGTATTTGTCTCTCTCTCCACCCATGTGAAATTTTAATTTATTTCCTTTTCATTATATCATCATTGTCCTCATCAAAAATTATTTCCCTAGTCTGGGAGATACACAGTGTTAAATCTCTAAAAGCAGTTCTGGTAAGTTTCAACATTTTTGATGAAAAATGCCATAGGAGCTTGGTACAACTGGCTCTAGATTAAGACCAATACAAAAAAAAATATAGTACATATGGTACAAGGCTTGAGTTCCCTCAAGGCAATCACCATAAAAGATGTACCTCTTTTATAACATGATGGTTATACATTGGAAAGCTTAGAATTTCAGCATAAAGCAAGATGTGAAAAAATTTGGTACATCTCCTGATTCTTTTATAGGGTGGACTTTGGACTTCTTTAAGAAACAATTAAATATTCCTGTAATATTCCCATACATAGCATTGCATTGTTCCTGTGGATTAACAAGGGACTTCTCCAAGAAGGCACAGGGCACTTGGTGCAGACGACCTCAGAAGGAGATAAGCAAAGCAAACGTTCTGTAACAGATCTGTCAGAACTCCCCATGGCACTTGTGTCTAGAGGAGCATTGGGTCGCCTCCTCTCGAACTGTAATTTCTTTCTGTTTCCATCTTAGCTGGTGGCCACACTTGCTTCCTTCTGACGAAGTCGCTCTTTCTGTTGTTTAAGAAGAAAGCATATCCATTGTCATTTCTACCTTTTAAACACTTTTATTCTCAAGTTCTAGTAAGTTTCCCAAATTCTGGCCTTAAATGGGAGTATAATCATACTAAATACCCTGGAAATTAAAGTATTTCTACCACCCCCCCTTAGACTCCACAGTTATCTGATTCTAACAACCTACCACACAGCGTCGAGGAAGATATTCCCACTGTCCCACTATTGCTGTTCATCACAGGATCTACACCTGCTGCAACTCATCCAAGTAAGAGCAGTAGCTAGAATTTATTGAACCTCTATTATGTAACTGGTACTCTACAAGCCTTTCCTCAGTTTCCTCAAAATATGGTGGTATCGTCATTGCCCTCTTTCCCTTGAAGAGAACGAAGCAAAGTAACCTCACTAAGGTCTTATGGTAATGCCGAGGTTTAAACCTCAGTTGTCTCCTTCCCAATAATCCTGAGTCCCTAATCACGAAGCAGTGCTGATTAATGTCGGTACAATGGTTAATGTTAGTTTTCAACTTGACATGGTCTGAAATCACCTGGGAGCCAATCGTACTGGCATGTCTGAGCCGGTTTAGTTAACCTCTGGGCACACCTGTGACATATTATCTTGATTCAGATAACTGAGGTAGGGAGACCTGCCCACCATGGGTAGCACCATTCCCTGGGATGGGAACCTGGATTATGTAAGGCAGTCACGTGAGCATTAGTATTCACTGCTTTCTGCGTCTGGACTGTGGGTAAAATGTAACCAGATGCCCTGAGCTCCTGCTTCTGTAACTTCACCACCATAATGGACGATAACGGTCAAACCGTGAGCCAAAACAAAGCCTCTTATCCTTGAAGTTGCTTTTGTTGGGGTATATTGTCACAGCAATAGGGAAGGTAACTAAGACAGTGTGTGACACACAGGTGGAGAATCATTGTGACCTCTACTGAACACTGGACTCTGGAGGATGCCTTTCTCAAACTTAGAAAAGCATAAAGACACTGGCTGGTTTCCAATACCAGGAAGAAATGTGAGGAGATCACCGCTCCCTTCTGGTCAGGCTTTTTGTCATATATTTGCCAAGTGACATTAGGCAGACTGTAAATTTTTGCATCTCAACTTTCTTAACAACTCCTAGGGGACATCTTGCCTCCTTCATTAATGGGAAGAAGGATGGGGATGCTCAGGGACCTTTCAGGAGGAAGGCACCTGGAGACAAGAGGGAAAGAATTGGAGATGAATATGAAATGGCAAGCGACACAATTTGCTTCATCACAGGTCATCTCTGTTGGGTTTGCAGTGGGAACATATGAAAACATGCTTTGTCCCTTCATGTCTTGTTTTGGTTTTAAACCATGTGGTATTAAGATGGGAGGAAAGATACCAATACCCCATCTCTTTCCTGAGTTTTGTCTTTTAAATTCACATACTCTTGGGAGTGTACCCAAGGTATGATGAAAAACCTAGAGATTATGGTGAAAAATGCAGCTTACCAGACTAGCAGTGGGATTAATTTTCTTTGTTTCTATTTTCTTCTCTGATGTCAATTTGCTGACAGATGCCTGAGCCATTTTCAATCTGAAATAAAAATGGGAAAGGAGAGATGAAAATAAAGGAGGAAGAAAAAAAAGGAGAAAAGGGAAGGGGGTTGAGTTAAACAGAAAAACTACTACTTTTGAATGCAAAGGTCATCCATCGGTTAGTATTCTGAAAATCAGTAAAGTGTCACATAACCACGGGGATACATTCTGAGCAATGCGTTGTTAGGTAATTTTGTGACAGTGACACTTATTCAGTGAATATCCACAAGCCCCAGTGGGAAAGCCACAAGAGCACCTAAAATATAAACCTGTAGGGTATGTTATTACACTGAATCCCACAAGCAACTACAACACACATATCTGAACATATCAAAACAAAGAAAAGGCACATTGTAAATATTAAACATACTGATCTTCCCTTCATTTTACTTTTCATAGATTGTTGTTTATGTGTTCAGTTGTTGGCCAGAATGGCATTATCTGATGTGCAAATATAGCCAGGTGCTTGTTTATAGCTTGCTGCTATTGCATTTAAACTCTAGGTAGAAATGCTTTCTCTGCTTAACCACAATTCAGTTTTCACTGGAGAGCCCACTGAGATGAACAAGGGGAGGTCATGCTTTTGTGAACAATGTATTAGTTCAAGATGAAGAGAATTCAATGTGCAATGGGGCACCATTCAGTGTGCTCAGTCTACTATCTGCACAGGAGATAATGTTGAGACAGTTTTGGAAAATGAAAATTTTGACAAAACATATGAACACTGTAAGTATCAAATTCATAAATCCACTGCAGGAAAGTAAAAATACAACCTAAAAATGTAAATAAAAATTGGAAATCATGTATCTGATGTGGAACTTTTGTCTAGAATATATATGAATACTTATAATTCAAAGATGAATTATGGTACCCACCACAATTAATAAATATGTTCATATATATATATATATATAATTTCATATAAACAAATACATTTACAACACAATCTCGATACTTAAAGCTCAGGGAACATCTAGGAAGACGGGGGCAGAAAGATTGTAAGAGCCAGAGGACCAGGACATCTGCTGATAAATAGCTCTTCTAGAAACAAACAAGCAAGCAAACAAATAAATATGAGGATACAGGGTTACGGGAGTGGTAGGCAAATAAGATGAAGATATTTTAGTTTACATTCTCCAAGGATTAATAAGGTTGTTATTTTTTGAAAGATGAATTACTGTTTCCTCACAATGGGCAGGCATTCAAACAAACATTTCTTCAAAAATGACACACTAGTGGTTAATGGCACATGAAAAGAATTATAATGTCATTAATAGACTCAACACACATGAGCATATTCAAAAGAGGCTGGAAAGATAAATTATTGAGAGACGTGATTACTAGAAAGATAAGAAATGGGACTGAGTAATATATTAAGTAGAATTCCATTTTAAATCTATAACACTAATAATGCTAATTTATTTAAACTCAGAGAATATATAATTTTAGATGATGAAAAAATGCATTTTACTTTCAAAATTTCCTCAAAATTTAAAAAAATTTAACTATTTAAAAATTGGCTAATTCATAGACATTTAGAATTTAGCATTTTTGTTTTTTTCCTTTAGGGTTTCAAATAAAAAAATCCAGCCAAGAACAGAATGTATTAAGTGGACTGAATCCAGGTCAGACTACACTGGAGAACAACCATTAAGAGAGGTTTTCCAATGGAGATGCAAATGAACCCTCAGCCTGTGTTCTTTCTGGAGTTTTTCCAGCTAGGATTCTGTTCAAAGAGCAATTTATCATTTATCTCATGGTCACTAGCTTGAAGGGAAAATTTTTGGCTCATCTTTTGCTTAATTGCTCCTTTCTACCTGTCACTTCTGGTCCCTGATTTTGGAGTTGGCCTGCTACTGGGCTTCTGCTTAGCATCATCCTTCCACTTTCTGAGTGTCTTGGGGGGCTCTGTGGCCACTCTTTGGGTCCTCTGGATATCCAAGAATTGGAGCTGGGGTAGTTGTTGTGTGGGTTGAGAAACCATGAGGGACTGGACACTAACCCACAATCCTGGCCACATTGTAACATTCTCCTAGGGGCCAGTTATATAAATGAACATTTAGTTGGGTAGAGTGGATTCTGTCCTCTCTTCTGGCAACTGATTCTAAGGTTCATATATCTTACTATGTTGTGATCATTTTTAAATACCTCCCTATCACAGCAGATTGGAGCTTCTCCAAAGTGGGGGATACAATTTCATTGTCTCTATCCTCAGTCTTTGCACTGTATCTGACATATAACAAGTGACTAATAGATAATAAATTATTGCAATCAGTCTAAAGGAATTCAGGTATTAATAATGGTGATGAAGGACTTCGGAGATGGCACAACTGGTAAGGCACCTCCAAGCATAGGTACCCAAGTTTGGGTTCCCAGCATCCACACATAGGCCAGTAATGGTAGCACATGTCTATAACTGTAATGCTGGGATGGAGACAGAGACAGGAGGATCCCTGGACATCAATGACCAGTCAGTCTAGCCAATTGGTGAGTGAACGACCTTGTCTTGAAGACCAAGATGGAGAATGAACGATTGAGGAAGCACACAAACCCATGGCCTCTACATTCACACGTGCACACACTCTCCCATACATGTATCTGCACGCTCCCATAAACACACATGCAAATTGAAAAGAAATGATAAAAAAGGACAGTGATGAGGACAACAGGCAAGAGTTCCTTAAATTGTAGGTGGCACCCCATCCATTCAGGATGGATCCTGCACGAAGCAAACTGGCAAATTCTTACTAGTCTCTATATATCCCCAACAATAAAGTCAATGAGCTTGGAGCGTGTGCCAGTACCGTGCAGTGAATATCAGGTACAGAAGGGCCAACTCAGTTTGTGGCACTTCCCATAGCCCCACCACATTCTCAGCCAGGAGCTTGCAACTGACCAGTGCCGTTTGCCAACTTCCTTGTATTGTTTGGTTTTCTAGCACTTAGCACATCTCACCTGCTTTTGTCACCAGCCTGGACAGGAGACTTAGGGGGGAAGGCTACTGTGGGAGACTAGATGAGAGGGTTGAGGCCCAGACAACTGAAGTAGTGTTAAAATAATCCTTTCAAGCTGTCCCACCGATTAAGATGGCCCCAGTTAGTAATGCATGACTCTAAGAATATGGCTTTCTTTCTCCAACACTTTCAAACGATCCCCAGTCAGCTAAAATGGAGGTCAGCAAATATTTTCCATCAAGGGTCAGAGAGTATTTTAGGCTGTTGGGCTGTTGTGGTAGATACTCAACTGTTATTGTAGTGCAACAACAACACACATGGGGATTCAAAGTCTTTAGCTTAGCAGTCAAATTTCCTCCCTCTGTTCTAAATTTAATCTGCAGTTCCTCTTTAAAGATCCAGACCTGTTTCCATATGAATATCATGATAGTTTAGCTTAGATAAATGTTCTTGGATAAGTCACGTAACCCCTCTGGCCTCAGTTTCCTCATCTGTTAAAAATGGGCATGTTACTACACCTAAGTAATTTTGTTGTAAAAGCTAAAGAAAGTTTTAAACATGGCTACCTCCATCAGCTGGTTCTACATGCCAGCCAAATCAGGCACCATTCTTGTCTTACTCATGCATTCAAATTCATGTCATGAAAATTTGTTCCATTTCTCTTAACCAGAAGCAATTTCTCTTTTTTCAATAGAAAAAGCACTTTGTGTCTCTCTTGAGGTACTTAGGTCTTCTGTATACCAGAAATCCTCTCTATTTCTGTATCTATCCTGTGTCTATACAAGTCAGTCCTTAGTACATATCTGAAGAAAGGATGTCTTCCCATGTTAATCAGTTTAAAAGTTTAGTAAAAGACTTATTAGTAAACTTGCTTTCTGCCCTGACTTTTGGGAAAAAATCCCATATTTAGAAGGCAAGTTCTAGTTATAAATATGTTAAGAGAAAGGGTACTGTAGGCCACCTAACGTGATAAACATTTATACATGCCAACTTAACGTATACATGCCAGGATTCCTGAAGGTGTACAGAGTACTTTACCCACAAGGGGACTGAGAGTAGAAGAGTTACAACTTTGTCCCAGATCAGGTGTTTCCTCATCTCACCCAGGAGGTAAAGACATTCTTTTCTTTTTGCATTTAACTGAAGAAAATAGGCGGGCTAGACAGTTTCTAGCTATACAGATATTCAGCCTTCTTGACTCAATTGTTTAGAAACTTGTTTCTGTTTCTGGCTGAGATGTGGGTTCTATTTTTGTTTCTGGTCTAAACATTTATTCTAGAATATCACCCATAGTTGTTCATGACTGCTGGCCGTTACTGAGCCCTTCAGCTGCAATTTTAAATACAGGGGAAAGCATTCAAACATGAGTATGTTAGAGAGAGAAAAGGCTGTAACTTTGGTACATAAATGCTGTAACAAAACTTCTGGAAATCCTACTATCTTTTCTTCATTCTCACTGTAATTCATGTGTTCCCCAAGAGTCACTGCAGGCTCTAGCAAACTGAAATGGCTGCCAGTGTGCACTGTGGGAAAGCCAACATGTGAGAATGGATGCGTGTCTGATGCTCCTGCCCAAGGAAGTGCTCACAGCCTTAGTTTCACACTAGAGCCACCTGGGTAAAGTGTGTGAATATAGGCACTGAACTTGAATGCTATGATGACACCTTAGGTAGAGAAGACCAGGAACAGCATTTTCATATTATCTCCTTTAGGATTTTCTGAAGCAGAGATGGGATTGTCATTATAGAGGCTGTTTCAGTGGGCTTTGAGGATATTATAGATGTCCCTCTTGGTCCCACATCTCTCTTTCAGTAGGCTGGATGTTAGACAGCTTTGTTGGTTTGGCCCTGTGGAGTTAGTTCTGGTCTTAGGATGCCTCTCCTATATCCACAAAGTAGTGTCTCTAGTTTGAAGAGTCAAGTTGTTTCTTCATGGTTTGAGGATATTGTGTCCAGGCACAGTTCTAAATAAGTGACCTTTCACTATTCCCTGAGTGGGAACCACTATCATTTCATCTTTCTTGACAGAATTCACTCTCTAGGCA